ATTATCAAATCGATCATCGACTTCTGTGCACAAGCTTCCCGGTACCAGGTGTACTGATGCACTCTTTGATACTCGAAGAAAGTGTCATAACTGTTGTTTGCATAAAACCGCAACAACTTCATGCCGTCATTATAGAAGTCGTTAGGGCCGTTTTTTTTCCACCTCTCAGCGTCTAGTCTGACATGCGCATTAAAACGCCTATTAGAATGAGGGATTCCATAGTCGGCACTTCGCACGGACCACACTCTACTTCCTCAAGGAAGGAGTCATATTCTCCCTCTAAACTGAGCCACAGACACGTAACAATGTCAACGCTTTAGCCTGTTGTAGCTTCAGTGTAGGATCGCCATTGTCAAATTTGAAGGGGGGCTACTTGAATGGTTCCCTATTAACCGTGGAGTATGCGAAAGGGATGTGCTATTGCCTTTGTTATTCAACATTGTTCTTGAATTTCTTCTTTGAAATAGTGCTGACCTTTGCAAAGACGATGGACTCGTTTTAGAGAGAAGGCGCAATTCAGTAGTACTGGGAGCAGACTGTCACCTGACGGCTTCTACATGCGACATAGCTGCGAAGGCTGGTCTCTTTCTTAACTCCTAGATGTTAAAAGAAATGAAAAACCCGTCCGGTAAAACTGATTTACAATAAAAACAGGGATATGAAGCGTTTCAGCAGGTTGATCAGTTTAAGTATCTCGACTCCATTATTTCTGGCTATAGCACTATCGAGCCACAGTTAATTAGGAGGACTTCCCTAGCCTCGAATGCTTTGGGAAACGTGACCAATGCTTCGACTCAGAACGGAGTTATTCTTTCCAGGAAAATCCGCCGTACCTTGCATCTGTCAGAACAGCATAGTTCTACGGCAAGGAAACAGTTGTTCTAAAGAAGGAACAATGACGACGGTTCAGCTGTGTGCAGTAGTATGGGCTTAGGCGCATAATGAGGATTAAATGGCAGAACATATAAAAAATGGCTCTATTCTCTTCCGAGAACGAGTGACTTCGGTAGAGGTAGAAATTAGGAACAGGAAGTTAGAGTTGTCAGAAAAACTGGTTGCGAATAAACCATTAATTCTTGCCCAAGAACTTCTTGTGTGGAAGTGTGGTAGCCGAAACATGGCAGACATCGACCAGGAAACCAATATGCAACATGGAAGTACAAGGTAAAGACAGACCTGCTTCCGGAGAGGAACCATTCATTCTACAATTGTGTAAGTGGTGTCCTGTAACAAAAATGATAAAAAGCTGCGGATACAGCGGACACCACAAACCAGAGGCATTCAGAAATGCTTATACAAACGGCTCAAAGTGACGATCTGGACAAAAAATAGTTATGGGTTTACTAGCAGTGTCACTTCGTAAAACCACGAAAGGACAAGCACGTTCAGAATTGAAAAGGGCATTCGACAAAGTGATGTATAGCACCGAAGTTATTCCCAGAAGCCGTAGAAGAAATTTTTAAGACACTAAGTTGGCAAAATCGTGGCTGAAGATAAACGGACACTCTTAAGCTGCGGTCTGGGGACCATCCCCTGATTTTCTGAAGGCCACAAGAAGAACTGCAACAATGAATCTGAAAACTGAATGACACCAGAATCAATGCAGGACTGAAAATAAACTAGAAGATTCAGGCCGTGCTTAACAAATAGGTGATCAAACAAGTCAGTGTATTCAGGCTAGAAGTAAAAAACTACCTCTAGTTGGGACAACTCACTTATGAAACGAAGAACCAACTCTGCGAAATTAAAAAAGTAAAAATGGCATGGAGAACTTTTGGAAGACTTAAAACGTCCCTATTCGGGAAACTGCATTTTTGCCTGAAACTGAAAGTTTCGTCTGTGAAAGTCTGTGCTCCCAGTGCTAACCTATGGGTGCGAAAGCTGGACCCTAAGCCTGACAGCTATTCATAAACTGCACACCCAGCAACACAGAACAGAAAGATCTATGTAGGGAATAGCAAGGAAACATTGGAAGCTGTATGAATAGGCAAAAGCAGAAGCAGGAGTCTGCGATGTCACTGGCAGGACATGTTGCCAGAAGAAAAGACCAACGTTGGATCAGAGAGACATTAGAGTGGGTGCCAAGAGAGAGTAAATGGCTAATAGAAAGACCTACAGGAGGAAGGCAGGATGAGCTGAAGAAGTTTGTTGGAAGACGGATAAGAACCGTAGAAAACAGAAGTTTATGGAAAATTCTTGGAGAGGCCTTTATACTGCAGTGGATCAAAAACAGCTTATGATAACACTTACACAAAAACCACCTCGGTTTTATGTATTGAGAGGTAGAGGAGAGCGTGGTTCAAGCTTTTAACTTTCACGCTAGACTTTTTTTTAAACATCACCGGAACCGGAAGTGGTGACAAGTTGATGATAAGCTCGACACTTTCGCGGCTGTAAGTTCACAACAAGTGAGACAAAAAACAAACAACACAAAAAAAGTCGCACTTCAGAAACGATGGTTTTACTTGAGCGTAAGAAACGTGCCGTACGCGGCGCCAAGCAGAACCCAAAACAGAAAGACGACGAAGTTGCGCTGGTTGCCGAAGCCGACACAGGCGCCCAGGAAGAAGCAGTGGTGGTCCTTGCGCAGCACACAGTACCGACACAGGGGACAGTGGTGGCAGCGTGCCAGAACCTTCGCGTTGCACAGGTGGCAGAACTTCAGGAAGCGGCCGGTGGTCGGGGTGCCGTCGCTGTGCTCGTCTCCGCAGTGCTCTTGTTCTGGTTGCTGATCGTCATCAGTGACGGTGTGCCTCGTTATCATCGCTGTCGCTGAGGTATTTTCCCTCAGTCTGTCGGACAGGTACCAGCTGGAGCGGTTGTACCTGGCACGATAACGAAACAGCACGAAGTTGACCAGCGCCTGCAACACGCACAGGTAGCCGAACACCAACGTACCGGTGCAGTGGTCAGTGCCGTAAACGGCCGGGCACGCGAAGTGCACATTCGTCACCAGCACCAGGGTCAGCGAGCACAGCGTGTAGGTCACGCCTGGAACGTCCGACTGGACACACCACCGTAACAACGCTGGCGCCCACAACAGTGACATAGCCGGCCACAGACCACCGACTCCAAGAACGTAAGCTGCCCGTCGTCAGCCGAACCAAGATGACCACATACGGTTGTTCGCTGTAGCACGACGTTTTTTGCTACAACCTACGCCACGGTACCGTCTGTTTACACAGCACCTGAATCGACGCACCTGTAACTGGGAGCCGACTTCGCCGCCGGGCACATTTTGTGTACGGTACTTTGATCTACAGGCGAACTAAGTAGTTCGCTGTGTACGGCAAACCTCGATTAATGCTACACTGTCGCTCAGTTTTGAAAATGGTGCATGGGTGAATGAATGGTTCATGGTTCGAATGAATCAACACATAATTTATAAAACATTTTTCCGTAGCATTAAGTTATGAACCAGGAGATGCTGATTGCTTCTATCTTACGAAACGTCACATCCATGCTGCAGGGGCATGGAACTGCTGACAGAACCATGCAGAAATGCATGACATAGCATCATTATAGTTGATCTACCAGATTTTTTGGAATCCGGAAACAAAATTTACTGTCCAAAAGATCAACTCAAAGTAGGAATATATTTTTCGGGCAGATCTGTAACCTCTTAAGAATATTTCAGGTCGAGCTGTTCAGTCGATAAAATTCTGTTCAAAACGATAATGGCCTGTGTTCTAGCCCTGGTATGATTCTTTTTCCGATGTTAATAAAGCAGTATTATCCTGTGGAAATGAAACATTAGACTACACACCTGCATATACCTTCTGTCGATTCTACCTTTTAGATCAAGCACTTCCCAGTAATTGCGGGTAAACGAAAATCACCATTACTTGAATGCAGGAAGGAGCGCCAGAAATGAGTGCATCATGAAAGTGTTAAAAAGATCGGCATTTCATCGTTTGAGAACTTTCGCTGCCTGGCAGAAGCGATGGCATGTACCTGAAATTATTATGTTTGCCCTCTTGCTGATGTCGCAGATTTTAAGCAATGCAACTCCTAGTGCAGAGCCTAAATAACGATTACAAATATGCATACGCCAACTTCACGCTTTTTCTCAATGATATAAACGATGCGTGAGTGAATTTCAACTTTTGATGTTCCACTGTTTATGTGTGCTGATAAAGTCAAACTAATTTCAAGCGGCAACTGAGAGAACGGTCGAAGCACAGAGATTACATTGAGAGGCTAATAATTACTCATGTGTGAAATTTTCATCGGTGAGTGAGAAATCAAAAGTGAAAATTAGATGCTGTTTTGTTAACATCCTCCGAAATCAATCTCTCGACCTCTATGGAATGAATCGCCGCTCAATGCGACGTTGTCGCATGAGTGTGAAGTTGCTTGACATTTAGAAGTCTTGTGCTTTCTCCATCCTCTACCAGTTGCGCCTTACAGAAAATGGAGAAGCGGTGAAACAGGTGGGGAGGCCCACGTGACTCAGAGTTGCATTTGCTGATGATGGAAAATGTGAGAAAGAGATCGACAGGGGACTTGAAATGATCAGCGTCGTCGAACGCGAACTAGATCGAACCGTTGGGAATAAAGCAAGGCTGAGTCCGATGACTAAGCTGATCAAGTCAAGCTTGATCCCCATGTGCACATGTGGTTGTGAGTCGTGGTCCACGAGTGAGAAACTTCGATCCTGTGTACAAGCGGCTGAAATGCTTTGTGAGACGAACTGCTGGGTTTATGTGTCTCCGTATGGTGAGGAACTTAGATATCTGAGGGTATCGTAGTGCACAGCCGATGCATCTTCAGGTGGAGAACTCACAGCTGCAATGCTTTTGACACGCCTTGCGATTACTTTCAGAATGTAAAACAAGACAGCAATTACTTGTTCAACCTACAGGTCGAAAATTCCGAAGACGTCCAGAATGATTTAAGGAAAATGAATCAACGGACCCTACTCCAGATTCAGATTATATTCTGCCGAAATTCAAATGTCGGCGAAGGATCGGAAACATTGAAGTTGCTGTCCAACGCATTTGCTTCCGAGAAACAAAAGGAACTGTGTCATTAAATGTGACTAACAGGGTAGGGTGTAGGAGATACGTGATATATACAAATCTATCTCGCGAGTTCCAACAAGTTTAAGAAAAACAGCCGTGTCGGAATTCACAGATTTCTGAGGGTATGAACCGAATCAGCATGTCAAATAATTTGTTCTGAAACAGGTATCACGCGAATTTTGCGCGCAAAAATGCTTGGACCTGACGACATGTAGTGATAATTTCTTTTAGCAGTGAATTGGAAGAGTTATTTAAAAAATTAATCGAGAATCGAAGTAACTCCTACTTTCACTAAATACAGAGAAATTTCTGTCGCATTCATGTTCTAATTTAACTTTAATCTTGATGAGTTTGTTTGAAAGCACTTAGTTCAGAATAGGGAAAAAAGACGCTACCACTGCTGAGCCGTATGTATAGATGAAAAAATTGCATTGTTGTATGAGTGCACGAACTGCAAATTGTATGACTTGCGAAGTTTTGTACCTTCTCACGTAAGAAAAGATTTCGTGCATTTATAACGGAACTTTTTCCCATGAGCAAGAGAATGAAGAGCATCACAAATCAGTGAATAAATACGTTTCGTTGATTTTTGGCAAGCTACCACAGAATCATGCTGTGAGAGCTAGTGAATGCAAAGTGACGTTGCCTTGAACTTTTGGCAATTCTCATGATGAATGAAATTTTGTATAACCAGTTTATTTGGTAAGACGTATGCCAATGCTGAAGAAAATTCCACCTCATGACCTGCACCCAAATGCCTACAATTGTGTTTGACACACGAATTTTTTAGTTTGAAGCAGTGTTTTCTACGGATTTCATTGGGTTGGAGGAGGGAGTACTCTAATTAAAGTAAAGCGCGAATAACAAAAAGAAAAACATACCCTTGTTTTATTCGTAAATATCTGTAATTAACGTCGACTTCCGGTTACCCATGAACAAATTGCATTGAAGCTGTTAAGCAATCCGGTATGCATTAGTATCCATCTCGGTCGATTCCGTATGCTGCGTATTTGTCCAGTGAGCATCATCGATCGATAAATGAATTCTTCATCGCTCGATTGAGATCAATATATATTCGTTAAACATATGAACGTATCGCTGAGTAGCGAATACAGAGATGATGTTCCACGATCAATTTCCGAGAGGTCATATTGGTGATGCAGTAGCAACGAAGAACCGGGTGATTTGACAGAACCATAAGAAAATGCGTGGCATCACATTTTTAATGGAAACCAAGTCACCGATGTAGCCGTTCTTTAGGAAGAACGTTCATTTTACGTGTCCGCTGTCGTTTAGAAGATTTCCTTTGCGGAAACAATAAAAACAGCCAAAACTAACGTTTATAAGCTTGCTTTCGTGTGGATATCTTTAAACTTTTTCGTTCTTGAGGCACGGCGTAAATTACGACGCCACATCTAAGCGCTTATGTGTTCGACCAACTCTATGGAAAACTTGCAGATGAAGGCACCTGTACATTCTCCTATTAAACGTCTTGCAGACACTGGCTACTTCGGAAGCTTCAATAAGGTCTGAATATTCAAAATGCGTATCCTTTATAACTGTGAATATCGTATGACAAAACGGCTGTAAAGAGAATTCACTTATAGTTTTATTTATAGATTTGTCTGCTGGCTTTATTTTTTCATGTCATTTAATTTATATTTCTTCTATTTACGCTAGAAAGCAAGACTATTTGACATTTTTCACGCAATGCACTGTTAACATCTAGTTCAATTATTTTTTGTAGCTCTCAGCAACGTCGATAAATCTTGCACAGCTGCCAGTAGCAGGAGGATCTTCAATTCTTCTTGGAGGAGATAAAATGAAGTTAATTGCCATCGCCGCTTTAAGACGAAAAGAAGCTTACGGGCTTATTCCGAACATTTAATTACTCCTTCAGAAAATGCTTTATTCCTGTTTCAACATTTGAATTCATCTTCAAAAAATATGACGAATTGCCTCCTGTTAAGTTAAACGCAATGATTTTAAAGTTGTGGCGCAGAAAATTTCTTGATAGAATGTGCAATGCCAACGCTGCTTTATGCGTACTCATCCTTTCGCAGATTTCTTTCATATAAACTCCACAACGCTCCGAAAATTAATAAAAGTGCTATGTAATTAGCGTAGTAGTGCTACCAGCTGAGTGTTGCAGGAAAACAGGACGAGAAATGTAACCACAAGGCTTTACCTGCGAGCACCTCCTATATACAAATAGCAAGAGCTGCCTACACAATATATAATTTCTAGATCTATATGATAATTTCCCTCTTATAACGTCTACTTCATCTTCACCTTCATCTTCTTTCGCCGCTTCTCCTTTCGGGTCGCGGAGGCAGACGCGTCAGATAGTGT